CTGTGTTAGGGATGTCCATTGTACTGTCAATGTTTGGATTTTACTCCTGGCAAGGGGTACGGAAAAGCTAGTATGGATGGCTGCCTCTCACCTCTGATGCGACCCTGCCTGAGCGAGCTGTTGTTTGATGCTTGGGCAATCTCAAGTGATAAAGAGTAATGTGTGTGGCACAGAAATAACGGCTGGTAGTTTTAGACAGAGACTAACCTCATATGTTGCTGTCAAATTAAGTAACAGCTGTATGGACTTTCTTTTGGGCTTTGACTGATCCCAGCACTTGTCAGAGCTGCTTTCCGGGATCCCATTTATGAAGTGTTCCTTTCATGGTGTTACTCTGGAGAGGATGGGGCTCAAAACCACCAGAAGCTGTTGGATCACTTCGTGTCCATGGGAAAACCAGATCTGGTTTCTTCCCTGGTCTTGGGCAATGCGCTCACTGGCAGCGGAGGGTCCCTGGTCTCTGCCATGCTGGGGGCTGGGGGAGTGGCCCCCGGTGCTCAGCCGCCATGCGTGGGGCAGCTGGGTGGGCAAAGGTGGGCTGCTGCTCTGCACCCCCCAGCCCCGCAATAACGGTGTGGACATCGCCCTCCTGGCAGCGAGAGCGCCCTTTGTGCTGGTGAGCTGCGGGGCTGGGGGGATGCTCACCGTGGTGGTGGGTGGGTCCGTTGCTATGAAAACAAGGTGTTTTTCTTAGTAGAATTGGATTTTTTTTTTTTTTTTTGCTCACGTTAGGAAAACTGAAACAATTAGGATAGAGAGACAACTTAAACTTTCCTGAATTTTTCTGAGAGAAAGCCCAAGCAGGACTTGGAGGTGGGTAGTGCAGATACAGGTGTGTGCAAGAGGCAGTCAGCTGGCCACTCCTCGAGCTTGTACCCCAACCCCAATTCTTTAAATCCTTCCTTACTGCAACTGTATGCTTTGTGAAACAAGACTGGGCATACCAACTAACCCAAATTATTGGTTAGCTTTCACCTACTACACTTTGTAGTAGCCTAGCTTTCACTCACTACGTTTTGAGATCTGACTAAAACAGGATGCAGACCTGAATTCATGCAGGGCTGAGGTTTACTGCTTGCAGACCTAGTCTGCTTTTCAGCTGATGGGATTATCTAGATTATTATTATTTTTTTTTTTTTAGTATGAATGTCAAAAAGCTGAGTCAGCCATACCACAGCTATTAAGATTCTAAAACTCCTTCCTCCTTAAGGATTGCTTACCCCTACTGTATGCAGTCAGATGAATATGAGTTGTTTGTTCTGGCAGAGGGACAGACAGTCTGTTTTCCCCTACACATATACAACTAATATCAAGTCACTAGCATTCTGGTTGGTGACAAAAGAGCTATCTTAAGCTTTTCACAGAACACAGTGACACTGTTAGATCAGCACAGCATTTGGATTAGCAGAAAGATGCGAGCTATGAAGCTTAACGATAAAAAGGGGCAAAATCCCTTCTGTACTGAAAACTCCAGTTTCAGAGCAAATGGGTGACCATATTTTTCTGCAAGTTACAAATTTTCACCTTAATACTGATTCAAGGCTATTCAGCGTCAGCAGTAGCCTGCACTATTAGAGTAAAGAATTAAAATTGCTTTCGTGCCCTATTGCTCATCTGGTTAGACCTTTTCCTGTGGATGCGTAACAGGCAGCTGTGGGGTCACAGCCCCTGGGCTTGAGGACCTGAAGGTTGCACAGGCTCTGACACCTCTTCCTTTAGGAGCTTTGAGGCTCACCCTGGGTGCATGTTCCCTTTCTAGCACTCTGCCCTTGAAAGCAGGGGCCAATGGTTTGGCTGCTCTGTTCCTGGAGATAGTATGGACCTCCGGGGTTCTTCTGTGGCTTACATGTCCCCTTGCACATACGTGCCCCTGGTCTCATCTTTCGCTAAGGCAGCAGTCCTTACATTACCAGGAAGGTTGGGTTCTCCTTGGCCTTCTCCAAGACCATTTTCTCAGTTTTGTGACAGAAGTGAGCCCAGGACCCTTTCCTGAAATTTCCATTTTTGGTTATTGAGTTATCTTTAGATTGGCAGTGACCACATGTCCTTTGTCAGGGTATTTCCAGTATCTGCTGTTGGAGGCCTAAATGCCTTCTAATGCCTAAAACTTCCCAGTAACTTCCAGACTAAATTTATATATAATGCATTTATACCCATTTTTGTTCAAGGGCCAAGACGGTCTTTCAACTGAAATAGGCTTTCTCCCTTCTGAGGTTTAAATCTTTACTGTTTTTGTCAAGAGCAGTCTCCTAACATCAGAGATGCCAATAGAAGAGAAATATATTTACTAGCTGACATCTTAGTGAAAGTGGTTGCAGCACTTTGGAATTCATCATTTGCAGATGCTGTGACCCCACAGTGGTGTTTCTGGGATTGCTTTACAATGCCAAACAGCCTTAGGCTGTGCTCTACATGGAGGCATCCTATCGCAGTGCCATCCCGAAGGAACCTATACAGCTGATGAAATTCAGAAGTGATGCAGATATGGGCATATCAGACTCCCTACATTAATTCAGACATCCTGGCATTTAGACTGCTTCATATGCTTGTTCTCCTGATGCTGGGCTGTACTGGTGAAAATTACACACAGAGGAGATTGAGAGATGCTTAAATTACAGTTGACCCCACTTTAACCTGTGACTTTCTCTGAACCAAAGAATTTGGTCTGGGATCTCCTCAGAGACAAAATCTCATGGGATCTCAGCTTGATAGGTAGGCTGAGGTAAATGTGATTATCTGTGCTGCTTGAGCCAAGCAGTATTGTTCACAGCCAGCCACTTCTGTTCAGATACACCCAGAACACCGTATGGTATTTAATGGACTATGCAATAATTGAAAAATCACATGAAGGGGTGGGAAGACATAGGATATTTAAAAGAAGAAAAATAGTGACCTTGTTCTTGTGCAAAAAGCAAGCAGAAATAAATGACAGCTTATGCTAAACCCCCTCAAGTTTATATTTCCAGTAACTGCAGCCGAGTATCTGTATGCCATGGTCTGTCTGAAACGAGCAGAGTACATTCTACACCATTAGTGGGCTTCAACTAAGACCGGTGACTCCAGTGAGATGACAGAAGTAGTGCTAAGCTTAATTTAACATAATCTGCAGAAGCAGCTCTGCACAGTTGCTATAACACTGTGTTAAACTAGGCTAAACTCTGAATACTGCTATAGTCACTGCTTTTGGAACCACTTTGGATTCAGTCTGTCAGAATGTTCCTCTCCTTTACAAAATACATTTTCTCATATA